AGCCCAATGCTCTTCCAACTGAGCTACGCGGTCAGGACGGTTCGAGTAAGTGATATTTCAGAACAGAATCTAGTTCCTTCGATACCAATGTATTCTAGTAATATGATTTTTTTCTGTGTTGGTGTTGTGTACTTAGGTGAATATGATGCTTGTGATGTTACTCTGAGTGTATATCCACACCGGGCGAGCTTGAAAAATATGCCCGGCCACGGTGGGAATCGAACCTACGACCTTTGAAACCGACCTGACCGCGTAGCTCAGTTGGAAGAGCATTGGGCTAGTATTCCAAAGGTCGTAGGTTCGAATCCCACCGTGGCCGGGCATATTTTTCAAGCCCGCCAGATGTGGATATACACTCAGAGTAACATCACACAAACATCTTATTCACCTGAGTACATTACATCAACACAGCAGATAACATGATAGTGTTTGAAAAAAAAAGAACCAAGGTAGCGGGATTGCCATCACTCATCCTCATTTGATCCAGTGTGACCGAAGAAGAGAAACCCTGTTTTCATATAGTTTCTTATACCAAGGCATAAATAATATCATTATAATGAACGGTCTGGGTTTACTGATCAATATTTTTCTTACCCTGTTTGGTTTATCAGGCTTTGCACCAGCTTGCAGAAGCACAGTGACAATATTTGCATGACCAAATTTTGACGCCGCATGTAACGGAGTAATGGCATAGGTCTAAAATTAATGATTGCATACATTTGAGTTTAACTTAAATTTCATCCAGACAGTTGTTTGAATAAAACAATTTCATTCAGATCTTAGGGGGGAATCTAAGTTTGATCATTTCTAAATTAAAGGTCCAGTAAGGATCATCTCTTATTTATTCAGTGTTACTACAGAAGGAAACGTAAACTAAACTAACTTTATTTATACTGGATAGCTGTATCAGTTCTAAACTGTTCTTCCTAGAGGTACAGTAAGAATCATCTCTTATTGATCCAGTGTTACTACAGGAGGAAACCTAAACTAAACTAACTTTATTTATACTGGATAGCTCTATCAGTTCTAAACTGTTCTCCCTAGAGTTCCAGTAAGGATCATCTCTTATTAATCCAGTGTTACTACAGTAGGAAACGTAAACTAAACTAACTTTATTTATACTGGATAGCTCTATCAGTTCTAAACTGTTCTCCCTAGAGTTCCAGTAAGGATCATCTCTTATTAATCCAGTGTTACTACAGTAGGAAACGTAGACTAAACTAACTTTATTTATACTGGATAGCTCTATCAGTTCTAAACTGTTCTTCCTAGAGGTCCAGCAAAGACCACCTCTAATGTCTTATCACAGATACTGCAATTAACGTGAACCTTTCTACTAAAATTTGTATGTAAAATTTATGATTAGGCATAAAAAGTCAGATACCTTGGTAAGTGCGTCGATGTCAGCGCCACTATTAGTCAGGAGTACCGCGGCATTTGCACTGTTGTACTTTGCAGCGATATGAAGGGGTGTAAAACCATTCTATGTGGAAAAAAGAAAAGACGAATATAGCAGAATAAGAATGTGTTTCTGGAGCGATAAAAGAAAAATCAACAAATTCATAGAACAATTGTTTTTCGTGACAAAAACTCTGTAGTGTAAACGAGTTTAAAACTAAAAATAAAAGAACCTATACATAAACGGTTTCATCCGTATATCTTGTTGCCTGTATTTTTCTTCATTTTTACATTCTTTATTTGAACACAAAGTTGGAAAATCGTAAACACATACAACACAACACACACGACACGACACGACACAGCACAGCACAACACACATGACACATACAACACAACACAACACAACACAACACAGCAACAACACAACACAACACACATGACACATACAACACAACACAACACAACACAACACAACACAGCACAACACAACACCATACTACACAGGTAAAAATCTCACATCTTGTAACAAGTCTGCCAACAAGCCGTCAACAAGATGTATTCGCACTGCTTGTCACAAGTTGTCAACAGGTTTGGAACAACTTGTTGACAACTTGTAACAACCTTGTCAAAATTATCAGACTTGTTGCAAGGTTGTTCTGACAAGTTTGTTAGATGCTTGATATAACAAGATTGTTACAACCTTGTGTTGACAACCTTGTACCATCCTTGTTATATCATGGCTGTAACAAACTTGTTAGCACAGTCTTGTAACAAGGCTGATAATGCCATCAAGCTTGTTACAAGTTGTTAACAGCTTGTTCCAAACTTGTTACAACAAACTGAGAACAAGCAGTGCGAACACAACTTGTTGACAGCTTGTGAACAAACTTGTAACAACTTGTTTGCAGACTTGTTACAAGCTGTGCGTTTTTACGCGTGTACACAACATATCAACGCATGGCACAACAGTTCATTACCCACTCACCGGAGCTCTGATATCAACTGCATGTCCTTTCTGGATAAGAAATTTGATTGGCTTCGTGAGATCCTTTCTCGCAGCATCGTGTAGAGCATGAAAACCTTTCTGCAATTGAAGACAGTACGGTTTCACAAATTGTCAGCTGGGGAATTAGCAGGGGTAGGAAAAGTATCGGACCACAGGACCATAAGCCGATGATAACTCTCCTACCGGATCAGATGGCAGTAATTTTGTCATGTATATAATTATAAATGCGACTAACTTTGGTATGTGTAATATTTGGGTCATTCTGAGAAGAAATGTAATGTATCTTTAAAATAAAAAACCTCATCTTGATCAACTTTTTCACTGTCAAAGTTCCAGATATGATGTCATTAGGTGAATTTTTGGTACAAAAAAACAAAGGAAAACTAATTTGCAATTTGCTTAATGACACAATATCCGGAAACTTTGACAGTGAAAACGTTTATCGAGATGGGATTCATTATTATAAAGATATATTACCTTTTTACTTCGACCATGCAATATTACACATACAAAAAATCATAGTTGATGTTAGTCGTACTTTAATGAAGTTCGTAGTAATCATACCCTCTTTTCACTTCGCAGAAGAGCAACTACGACAGTCTCGTGGTCTTGTTGCACAGCGACATCCAGTGCAGTAAAACCATCCTATATTGAAAACAAACTATGGTAAAGCCCTCGTTCATGGTAAAGCCCAAAACAAAGTCAAACCCAATACACCATCAGCCATCATCAGCCAACAAAACAACAGCAAGAACAACAACAAGAACAGCAGCAGCAACAGCAACAGCAACAACAACAACAACAACAACGAGAAAAACAACAGTAACAACTTTTTTACCTTGTTTACAAACAATATTCCTAATTCTCTAAACCATCGTAAACAACTAGTAACTTTCTACGACCAATGTAATTGCTCACCTCCGTCAAAGCTTGCAAGTTAGCACCATTGGCAAGGAGAAGTTTTACAGTTTCGACATGGTTCTCTTGCGATGCCATGTACAGGGGGGTGAAACCATTCTAAAACAAACATATGTGTAATTTAGCAAACAGAAACAGAGTAGAACATCACACGGTAAATAACTGCACTCGACAGCGCAGCAGACGACAACACAACGACCATCGCACAGTATAGCATAGTACAGCAACATAACACCACACAACACAACACAGCACAACACAAAACAACACAACATAGCACAGCAACACAACACAGAAACAACACACAACACAACATAGCACAGCAACACAAAAACAGCACACAACACACAACACAACATAGCGCAGCAACACAACACAACATAGCACAGCAACACAACACAACACAACACAACACAACACAACACAACACAACACAAAAACAACACACAACATAGCACAGCAACACAACACAACACAACATAGCACAGCAACACAACACAAAAACAACACAACACAACACAACACAACACAACACAAAAACAACACACAACATAGCACAGCAACACAACACAACACAACATAGCACAGCAACACAACACAAAAACAACACAACAACTTGTCAAATACCTGAGCTTTCAAGTTGACATTGGCTCCGTTGTCTAAAAGTATCTGAACAACTTTTGTCTGTCCTGCCAAACACGCGATATGAAGCGGACCATTGCCTTTCTGTGAAATGAAAAATAAAATGGAACTTAAATAAAAACCTGTAGTTTCTTAAACGAGAGGTTTTCAAGTGAGGAACACCTGAACAGTTTGTCTATAACGAAAAAATTGTGAAACTGATTAGCCTTTCTCACGCCACCATTTTTGGGTGGCATTTCAGCCGAGGTCTGCGAGATAAGTCCACATAACAGCGACTTTTTATAATTTTTTGGACAAATTATGGTAAGTTTGCTTTGTAAATGGTTAGTTTATTTTGAAAAATTGCTTTTCACATTGTTTTAATTGTCTGCATTGGTTAACGAGATTACGAGAATTAGATGCCATCCAAAAATGGCGGATATTCGTCATTGTGAGAAAGGCTAATTGACAATGAATCTATTAAATTTTAAAGATTATTATTTCTTATTGAAATTTATTGGCTCGTTGGCGCGTTTGACGTCACTATAAGGGTCTATTATAACAAATGCTTATTTATATATCATAGTCAAATTCACGACAATTAACAGAGCCTTGTTGAAAGTTTGAAGTGTTTTTCAAATCTTTTCAGATGATTCTGATCAAAACCATGCCACTTTCCTTGTACGAAGGATGGATAACGCTATCCATTGGATAGTGATTTTTCAACAGTACCAGGATTGAACATAATGATTTTTGAGACGTTCTCTGGTTGGAAATTTTCAAAAGCTCGTGATAAATAAAAATTTCCAACCATAGAACGTCTCAAAAATCATTAAGTTGTAAAAATGCTTTAAAAGTTATAAAAGTAAGAAAGTGGACCCCACAATTAATAAAACGAAATTTTAACTAACACATACTGATAGATAGATAGATAGATAGATAGATGGTTTATTTGCAAAGCATTACTCGATTTCTCAGTGTGCGAAATAGAACTTCGTCTCCCTGGTCTAAAGCTTTCTGGCGCTTGCGAATCAAACATTTGAGAGACTGATTGATCCAGGGTGGCTCGCTTGTTACAATGGTCTTAGACTTTAGAGGAAGTAACCTGTCCATCCCGGTATTAATGATTAATTCCAGGAGCTTTACTTTGTCTTCACACGACCTCTGACTGTTAATTAGTGTTGAAATGTCAACTTCCTTTAGATACAAACGCATTGCAAGGCGCTTCGAAGGCCGAATGTCCCTTGACTTCACGGTGATCTTGGGTTTAGGTAGATTGGTTCGCTCTAGAGGTTTAACTTCAATAGAAACATGGTCAGACAAACCAAACGGGGACATCTTAACTGGAGGGCTATAAAACCTCTTTAGATTGGTATAAATTTTGTCCAAAGTGTTACTACCACGCGTTGGAAAATTGACTATTTGTTTAAGTTTATAGAAGTTGCAGAGTCGCGAGCCGTTTAATTGATTGAAATCACCGACGAGAATCTTAATTACTTTTGTAATCACTATTTTGTAGTTAAATAGTGTTAATTACTCAAATAGGCGCTTCTTATTGGATGACATTTCCACTTAACTATGATTAACTTTAATCACTTTTTTATACAACAGGCCCCAGGTTTATACCTATCAACGAACAACTTTAGAAAGTTGAAAAAATAGAGGATGCACAGCCAGGTTGAAACATTATTTATTGAACGAACGTTCACTGACTTAATATTTATTTCTACGAGCTTTCGGCTATTAGTCTAGATTATATAGCCTTGGTTATAGCTGTTCTTAACTATGCTTTCCCAACACTATATCATGTATTCTATTGAAGTTAAAACATATGCACACGTAAAAACGCACAAGTTGTTAGAGGTCTGCAAACAAGTTGTTACAAATCTGTTCACAAGCTGTCAACAAGTTGTGTTCGCACTGCTTGTTCCCAGTTGTTGTAACAAGTTTGGAACAAGCTGTTAACAACTTGTAACAAGCATGATGGCATTATCAGACTTGTTACAAGGGCTGTTCTAACAAGTCTGACACAGTCATGATAAACAAGAATGTTACAAGGTTGACGACACAAGGTTGTAACAATATTGCTATATCATGACTGCATCGGACTTGTTGGAACAACCTTGTAACAAGCCTGATAATATCAACAAGGTTGTTACAGATTGTTAACAGCTTGTTCCAAACTTGTTGACAACTTGGGACAAACAGTGCGAAGACAACTTGTTGACGGCCTGTTGACAAACTTGTGTGTATAGTTGGAACAGTTCTCATCAAACCTTTATTTTGTTAATCTGCTGTATCTCTAGAGCTTAACCCTTGGCCCTGTAACAATACTTTCTCTCATCCTCGCTTGACCGGAGTTTAATACATCATTTTACGAAATATAGTAGGCTAAAGGCCCTGTCACACTATTGCGTATGAGAGAAACGTATGAGAAGCGTATGAAAATTAATGAAATAATTTTCATACGCACAAAAATCCTTTGAAATGCCAGCGTATGAGTACCGTACATCTGGCGTACCTCTAGCGTATTCAGCGTGTGCCTAGAGTATGCTTATCGTATAAAGCACTACGTCTGATACGCACAAAATTTTTGAGCATGCTTAAAAAAATTTTCTGCCTCGCCGTATGCCACCGTACGCAACCGTGCTTGAAACGTATATATACAACCTATGACTAACGTACCCCAAGCGTATGTCAGCGTATACCGGCGTACGAGTGATATTTTTCAGGCGCTGGCATACGCTAGTACGATACGCAATAGTGTGACATGGCCTTAATGGACAACTTGCATGTTAGACTAAATTTTAATCTAAGTAAAGAGAAGGGAATCAAACACCACAGCTAAAAAAAACATGATGAAATTAGTAAAATTGCAAAATTTGGTTACGAAATGTTGTAAAATACGGAAAATATAGTCTTGCGAAGTTTGCATATTTTGTATGTGTTTGTATTACGTGTGGAAATTATTACCATTTTTGAGCCGAATTAAGTGGTAACAATTTCCGCACGTATAATAAAACATATACAAAATTTGGAAACTTTGCAAGGCTATATTTTCCAAGCTTTACAACATTTCGCAACCAAATTTTGCGATTTTACTAATTCATTATGTTTTTTAGCTGTGGTGTTGGATTCCATTCTCTTTACTTAGATTAAGAATTTAAGATTTAGTCTAACATGCAAATTGTCCATTAAAATGTACCGTCATTGTATTGACACTATAAATTTGCACTGTCATTGCATTTCCTATTTTAGCGCATCAGCGCAAAACAAAGAACTGAAATAGAATTGAAAGAAATTTCTCGCATGTTTTAATGACACAAAACCGGTTTGTTTTTACTGGGAAAACTATGGCGAAACAGTTCAACCAAATCGACACGCAATTCGTCAATAAACAGCAATATTTTTTTACATGAAAAGTAATAAAAAGATTGCTGAAAGAATCTTCAAAGCATTGCTCTATTTCTCAAGATGTCTTGTGTCAATTCCTCTGATTTTCTTGATTCCCTTCCTTTTTAGGGTTAAAAATTCCTTGAAAAAGGAAATTTCCGATCCTTGAAAGTGGAAACGCCGAGATATATTCAGGATATATTTCAAAGGGAAAACCCCGGGAATTTTCCAACCATGTGCCATTTCACACAGACACTCACTTTGTGAGTGCTGCCCTTAAAATTAGTATACGTACAAGCGTCTTTGCTCTTATTTTGGACAAGTTCAGGGCGAGTGTGACAGCAAATATGAGTTCGGATAACAACTATAAAAGCCCCATTTCGGGCATGGATAAATACGGCGAACCACGAATGAGACTAGCCGTTTTACTTCGCGATAAAATTTTGAATAAACTCGACATGCCATGGACAATTGAGAATGGCACGTTGCTTGGCGCTTGGCGAAATGGTGGCTTCATATTACACGATGACGATTTCGACATCGCAATGTTTTCCGATAACGACCCAAAACCCCTAATTCCTTTCATGTTGAGAAAGATCAACCAGCTGCTGCCTGCTCCGTACGAAGCGAGATACGTTTCCACGTATGCGGATAAGATCGAAGTTTACGATCCGAGTTATGGAGAATACAATCTACTTGCGCCAAAATACAACGGGGCTGCATATCATCATTGCACAGTTGATTTACAGTTCTACCAACGTGTCGGAGAGAAATATGTACCACTCTACTACATAGATGCAAATGTGAAATCAGTCTTCTGCAAGGACATGTATCCGTTGAGCAGTATTCAACTCGAAGGGGAAATGTTCCAAGCGCCATTTAACACCGAAGGATTCCTGACAAGCTTGTATGGAAGTCTGTCGCCGAAAGCGAAATTCAATCCGAAAACCGGTTTTTACGAAGTATGGGAGGACACTATGAACAGTCAAATATTGTTGTCTTCTTGAGAATGGATATGTGCTATCTGACTGATAATTGTTTGAAAACGTTACTTTTGCCCACAAGCGGCCCAATCTCCGAATGGTGTATAAAACTATATATTTTCAATATTTATACGCAATATTTATACGTTATAATATTTAATGAAATAATTCAAACCGTATCAACAATATATGTAAAAAATATATCTAACTTCGATGCAATGGAAGTGTTGATTAAATATTGCACCAATTCCTTTCCTCAAGTTGATCAGTGGACCATTTGCATTATAGACTAAATTTTGGTCTTGACAAAAATTTCATCACAGCTTGAAAGAGCATCACAAAATTAGTAATATTCCAAAGTTTCGTTGCGAAATGTTGTAAAATGCGGATAATATAGCTTTGCGAAATTTGCAATTTTCAATCATTTTGTATTACAAACAGGAAATTGATGTCCCAACGATTGGGCTATCAATTTCCCGTGCGTAATACAAAATGACTGAAAAACGGCAAACTTCGCAAGGCTATATTATCCGCATTTTACAACATTTCGCAACGAAACTTTAGAATATTACTAATTTTGTGATGCTCTTTCAAGTTGTGATGAAATTTTTGTCTAGACTTGTCTAGATCAAATTAAGTCTATAATGCAAATGTCCATTCATTTGATAGAAAATTGATCAACTTCCTGTTACTTTTAGATGAGCCAATTAGATTTTGTTTCAGAACCGATTGAGCAATAGGAAACGCACAGGAAGTAAAAAGAAATTTGAATTCGTATGATTGATCAACTTGAGGAAATGATTCATGCTGATCATGCAATATTTTATCAACGCTTAGTGATGGGCGATACCAGCTTTTTTGGTTTCGATACGATACCAGTCCGATACCATGAATTTGGTCGATGATACCGATACCAAAATCGATACCGATACTCAATTTTTCCATTTATTAAAATAACTTTTAAAGCACGAACATTAATGTTAATTAACAAGTCAAAGAATACTCAAACTGCAGTACCTGCCAAATAATCCAACATAACATTTGCAGTTATGATTTTAAATGTAAACAATATCAACGTGTTCAATGTTTTCCTTAAATATATTGCTAATTAGCTACATATTTTTGTGAACAGCATCATGTCAACATTTTTTGCCTTCAGTCTTTTGCCTTCATGAAGTATTACGCGATTTGTCAGGAATACGGACCGAAAATATCGCAGGCTCAAGTGGTATCGAATTACCGATACATTTTGCGAGTACCGAAAGTATCGATACTTTTGTAAGTATCGATGATTTCGATACTTTTTCGATAGTATCGCCCATCACTACTGATGACTCAACACTTCCATTTAGTGATGGGCGATACCAGGATTTTTAATTCGATACCGATACCGATACTTTTAAGATCGGTATCGGCCGATACCGATACCTATTTCGATACCAAAATAAACCCAAAATTTCAATTTTCGATACCGGAAGCGAGTACTTAAATTGCCAGTATCGGCTACTTTCGATACCTACCGTTCAGCGGAAAAACATTTTACATTTAACAAATATAAAAAATTTTCCGTGTTGATATACAGTTATATCAACACGAGTGGAAATTGGGAAAACGAGAAATTGTGTGGAAACACGACGCCCGAAGGGCGGAGTGTTTTCATACAATTTCGAGTTTTCCCAACTTCCACGAGTGTTGATATAACTATATATCAATACGGAAAAAATGTTTTATATATTTTTATAATATAGCAATGTCAAAAGCCCGAAGGATAAGAAAAATTTCCGTGTTTACAAGCGGCGGAAAATTTCCCGTGTTGACATTGAGTTATATCAACACGGCTCTCAGCCAATCAGCGTTCAGAATTTACAAATGCTATATTATAATACTGTATGTAAAATAAATAAAGCTATAAGTAACCAAAAGCCCGAAACGTAATAAATATTTTCTATACATGACTTGGCGCACCACATTTGCAATATTAAGGGTTATTTTAGTGGTTCATTAAGTCTTATTCAACCAAGAAGTGAAATTAAACAAGTTGTTTAAAAAAGGGTGCAAGTATCGAACGATACCACGTCAGTAATCGATACCGATACCGCTGTTTGTGGTATCGCTGGTATCGAATACCGAGTACTCGGTATCGCCCATCACTACCTTAATTGTTTTCACGCTTATTGCAATATGGCTGAAAGCAAGTCTGAGACAAAGCCCGATGGCACACTGTCATATAAACTAGAAATTTATTTTGCTGTTTATGGGCCGAGTGATGTCACCCGAGAAGTGAGGAGCTTTATTCAACATGAACGCCTTACGGTCAAAGCCGCCAATTCTGTCTTTAGCGACACTTGGAAAGGACACAGGAAGACACTCGTAGTTGTTTATAGATATGGCAATTCTGATTTAAAGCAAGCGATCATAAAAGAAGGGGATACCCTACAACTAACACCACCGCCAACACTAGTTTCTGCCGAGCTCGGGGACAAAGGTATTTGTTTCTCAATCATATATATATATATATATTTACCTCAAAAGGTTGCCACAACAGCATGGAGGAGTAAAATTTCAAAGTAAACGTCCACATTAACCGTTCACATTTAACGTCACGTCTGGTATTACACATTTCTAGTTTTATTCCATATATTCATGTCTTTCTAGATGACGTACATTTTTATGTACGGCATATGTACAGTTGTTAATTAAAATAAATGTTAGTTTGTGAAAGTCTGCTAAATAATTATACAGTGTCGAGCTGGAATGGTTGAGTGTAAAACAGATTTTACTTAGTAACTACATACGTCTTACTGATATAAAGCAAACACGTACGTCGCATCCTCTAGTTCGTGTATTCTAGTATTCTACGAAAAATGTTATATTGATTCATGGCGTTGGGGAAGTCAGCGTGACGTGAACAAAAACACCTTCAAGCTGACTTGCCCAATGCCATGAACAATAACATTTTTTTAGATTGATTCTTATATCGCACTGAACGATTTCTTATTGACTTTTGTTGGGGAGTTGACAACTAAGACTTGGTCGATCAATTGCAACTTCGTTGCATAGGCGCCCATGCAAAGCGGACAAAATTACGAATGTCACACTAGATTTGAAACGAACGATTTGAAAGCTAGGCTCAGATTCCAGCCGTTGTGTTCTCGCCACTCGCCCACTTAACGGCTGGGTCAATGAGCTTCGGCATTGTTCTGATTGACCAATCACATTACAGCCCCCCAAAATTTGGGGGGCATAAATTTGTATTAATAATGCATAAATTTAACACAAAGGTAATAAATTAAATATGGCGAAAGCGCATTGGGCTATTCCATTTAATATCCGTACACCCCCTGTCGAGGATGCATGTTTTTCGTGGTTATACCCCTGAAGAATTCCAAGCTCAAAACCCTTTACCCCTGAAGAATTCCAAAATTCCAAGCTCAAAATCCTTTACCCCTGAAGAATTCCAAGCTCAAAACTATTTACCCCTGAAGAATTCCAAAATTCCAAGCTCAAAATCCTTTACCCCTGAAGAATTCCAAGCTCAAAACCCTTTACCCCTGAAGAATTCCAAGCTTAAAATTTTTTACCCCTGAAGAATTCCAAGCTCAAAACCTTTTACCCCTGAAGAATTCCAAGCTCAAAACCCTTCAGCCCTGAAGAATTCCAAGCTCTGAAAAATATCAAAGTCAAACCTCTTTACCCCTGAAGAATTCCAAGCTCAAAACCCTTTCCCCCTGAAGAATTCCAAGCTCAAAACCCTTTACCCCTGAAGAATTCCAACCTCAAAACACTTTACCCCTGAAGAATTCCAAGCTCAAAACACTTTACCCCTGAAGAATTCCAAGCTCAAAACCCTTTACCCCTGAAGAATTCCAGGGATCCTCGACAGGGGGGGTACGGATATTAAATGGAATAGCCCATTGCTGAAGCGTTCGAGGTCGGCGTTGTGCTTTCGTTGTGCAAATATGTGCACTTAAAAAGATCTGTTCAACGATATTTATACGTGAACTACATGGGTTAAAGCGACATCTTTTGGGGAAGAGTAATTCCGACGATTTTTACGACACGAACCGAAGTCTCTCTACGAATAATAGTCGCTGGAATGTTTTCGTCTTTTCGAATCCGTTGCATATTTTTATATTGTGTTTATAAATAATATATCTCATTGAGGATTCTTGGTCATGAAAGGGCAAAGAATATTTTGCGTGTGGCTGAGCAAAATTAATAACCTTTTTTTTTTTAGCTTAGTTAGCTAGGTGGCCTAGTCCTTTGAAACCCTCCCTGTTTCTGCTAGTATTCTGCTGATTCAGTTG